ATGTAGTAAATTTAGGTTTTGTCTTGGTTTATTAACAGTTTGATTAAACTGCTGTCTGCTGCTTTAAATATAGGGGCATATCTTCTGCCACATCTCAAAACATTTGTCTTGAAATACTTAACACTAAATAATGCAGCAGTGGTACTCATGTTTTGGAAGTTCAGGACTTCTCTCTGAGTGCTTAGTAGGTTCTGTTTGTTTCTTTTATTTCTGTGCAGAAAATAGGTTTTGAACTTCATTTTTTACTTGTTTTTTAAAGGAAATGTTGAAAATTTTTTTCTGTCAAAAACACATATACCCTCTGCTTTTTGTCAGCCCTTGTCTTACCTCTCACTGGCCCAGAAAATAAGGCAGTCCCCTGGGTCTGCACTGGAACACCAGTGATTCAGGGCTTTCCAGGGGGGTGGGCATTTCATACAACTTGATCAGTACAATACAAGCCAAAGTAAATTCAATGTGTTTTCTGTCAATGCTCCAGTTACTTTACCTGATGAAGTGCAGGCTTGCAACATAACTGGGGTTTAAAAAGACTTAGGGAGACTGTCTACTCCAATCCACTCTGCTCAAATCTGGATAAGCTGCAGCAAGTTGTTCAGAACAATGTCCGGACAGATTTTGGACATCTCCAAGAATGGAGACTCCACAACCTCATTGGGCGACTTCCTCATAGTAGTTTTAAAATGGAATTTCTTGTTTCAATTTGTGCTTTTTCCTTTATTGTTGTTTCACTGGATGCCACTAAGACAAGGCAAAGCAACCATATACTTAACAAGGTTAGAACTTGTTATTTTTCAAAACCATGCATGATACACTTATGTATTTTAATGGTCAGTTACAGAATAAATACTCCCAGTGCAGTGCTTTCTGTCTTGTAGGCTCAGCTGACCATTTTATATCATTGATGCAGGCTTCATCTTTATAATGCAATACTTCAAATCTATTAACAGTTTTCAGTTCTTACGAGAGAAATACCTGTGTTGTAATGCAGACTAAGGACTTCATCTACTGTCATACTAGGGACAATTACTACCTTTTCTAATGCTGACTCTAGGTGGTAGATACTTTTGCATGTCATGAATCTCCATTCTCATGGTATGGTCCTGAATTGTGAGTTCTTTACAGTTTGCAAGATTGCAATGAACATGTCCAAGGAGGTATGGGTACAATATGTTTTGAGATTACACCCTGTATAAAAATGACAGCCAAAACCTAAAAGCAGACAGAAAACTTGTATCACTGCAGAAAACCTCAGAGATGGACCTAGCAGATCATAAAATGGGTGTGCTGGTGTGTTCATGTATTTTTTCCCTGCAATTTAACTTACTGTTTTGGTGCAAGTGAATGCTGTCATATCAAATAACTGTGTAAGAAGAATTAGGACTTACTATGCCAAAACAAGTATTCTTACTTTTTGAGAAATGCAGTCCATTGCATCTTCTATTGTTCAAACTACCTTTGCTCAATTTCTAACATTATCACTGAAGCAATTGCATGTAGAAATACACCTGGGGTATTTCAGATACAAGTGGTATTTTCAGGATTAGGAGTAGATATGTGGAGTTGCTGCCATGCCACTGACCACCTGCTGTGAAACCTGGCATGAATTTGTCTTCATCCTTGGAACTGCTTCTGTAAAAGCTGTGCTTGTAAGAATGGTTGGAATGAGCTGCTCAGCCAGGAATGCTGATTTGTCCAGCATAGTGATATACTCCCAAGAAAAGCTTCTTTTGTGTTTAAGGGATGCAGATTAACACAGATAAGAATTTGTAGTAAGCCATCTAATACCAGTTGTCTGTTACTTACTTAAACATTTATCACATGAAAATGCAACACACTTAGAATAGTCAAAATAGAACAGTGTAAAATAGCTGCTCTGTCAAAAGGCTGGATATAATTATGGACCTTTGGATTCTACACATTTAAATTTCAGTCTTACAAAGTTATTGTATCTTTCTCTATAAGTGGTGTCTTCCCTCCATATTCAAATAGCCTGGTTCTACCCAAGAAAAAATAAGTACTTTCTGAGTTCATATATGTGATTGCTTGAGCATAAGCAAACAGATTTTTGTGCATTTGATATTTGTGTTTCAGTGTTCTAGAATGTCCATATTCTTTTAAAAATGTTTTGAACCGTATAATGCCATTGTGCTACAGTAATTACTGGAAGCCTTCAGGATTGCTTCATTTCCATGTGCATCACTCACCTCTGGAAATTTGCTGAGGCTGAAGCTTGTTAGTGAGTGTAAAGGTTTGTTAATGAGATTAACTTACAAATAGCAGTTATGGTTTACTAGAAAATGCTTCTTAAAGCATAGCTTCTTAAATAAAGCTCTTAAAATATCAGCATGAGTGGAGGAGGCCTACAAGGATCCATCTTGAATAAGGAAACTGCCAAACATCTGCCATGTCAGTATTACAGTTTATGATGCTAAGCCATAAACAAAGGACTCTTGGCCATGATTTATGATAATCACTGGCTGGAGCTACCTGTCAGAAATTATGCCTTCAGTAATCCAATTACATGAGTGAAGATAAGAATACATGGTCAGGGCAGTTTCCAGCATAGGAAAAGCTTCTTCTTATGGCTTTTGTCAATAATAATTATTCTTGAAAAATCATTAATAAACAGCTTTGTGGTGGATTGTACCAGTGTGGCTGTATCTCTTAGCATAATACTGGGAATCCTGTAGCAAGACCTCAAGTCAGTAGAACTGAGCTTTCCCCTCATGGCAGGGGAATGTTGCTTCATTATTTTACACTGGAAAGACAGAACTCTGGAGGACAGTTCCTTTTTAGCAGGACTACATGTAGTTGCACAGTTGAGGCTTTCCCTAGTGATGTTTTACATGTATTTTTTGAGCTTAGATTCAAGACTAACTAGGTTGAAATAATCAGTGAGGGGGTGAATTACTTTTATGCTTAAAGCTTTTCAAAGAGGATAAAGATATGTCTTTCCCAGACATATCCTCTTCCCTGAAATGGAGAGAGGTACAGTGCATACAAAAGAAATGCTATATATTGATGTTGCTTGGTAACCTATTTTATGTGCTAGAAGTCATAATAGCAAAATCTTTGTGGCATCTTAGTTTGCTGACCCATAACTTGAAAAAAAAAATAAACATAGTTCAAATTCTTAGTAATTTCATAGAGCTAAAAGTATTTGTCTTATCTTAAGGTTTGGGACCTCTCCTCTTGGGATGAGCAGAGAAGCAAGAAATTTAGTTAATTGCTTGAAAGAGAATAATTAAATTCACAGCTGAAGTTTGATATTTATTTTAATCTCATTCTGAATGTGCAAGCTCTCCCAAAAATGAAGCATTGAGGCTTTATGCAGCAGGTCAGGGATGAAGAATACAAATTTAAATTCACTCACTGATTTAATGTGATTAATTTGTGATGTTTCTGTAAATGTCATAATTTCTTTATTAATACAATTAGATTTATTTTTCAGATCTAATATAGTCATACACTATTTTTGTATAATAAATAGTTAATATGCAATTGTTATGCATATTAAATAGACTCCCTATTTGACAATTGTTATTGAGCTATGAGTGTTGTGAGAAAGTGAATATTTTTCTGCATCTTAGATCAATTGATTCATTTGAATTCAGTAATACCTAGATCAATCTCACTACTTAAAATTGTACCTCATTACACACAATTGGGAAAAAAAAAAAGAGTAAATGCATTGGTTAAGGGCACAGATTTTGCACAGATGGGACCTGGGATGGTACTGGGACTGTAGGATGTTTTCTATGGTCATGTGAATCTGTGTGACCATAATTGTAGTTTCAAATCTCACTGTAAAATGAGACCTAGCATTTTAGAAAAGAAATTTACTGGTAAAATGTGGTGGAAGTCATCCAGAAAAAAAAGAAACCTTACAATGTTACTTTTACAAGCACTTAAATAACTCCTACCCTTATGAAGGCTGGATATCCAATGAATGTTTTTCATTGTATTAACAATCCAGATATTTTTTAAATAACACTATAACTGTTTCAAGTGTGTATGTAATGATATTTAAGAGAATTAAATTATCTATTTGGAAAAAGATAGATAAGTTTACTTCTTAAGTTTAATTTAGGATTGCATCAGCTTTCAGTTATGCCACAGCTTTTTATAGCTTGACTAGTGCTAATGATCTCATTCTTTTAACCTGATAATAAAAATAATGGAATACCTTGATTAACTTGAATGGCAGCTCATATTTGATATGGTGGTTATAATTAACCACACTGCAGCAAGTTGCCACCCAGTGCTTTGTCTTACCTTATACAACCAAATAACTAAATAAGTTGGTCTGGTTAAAAACAAACAAACAAAAAAATTAATTGGAGAGTGTCATAATAGGGCAGTGTATAATTTCTTTAGAAAGAAATGTGCCTTCTTTGTTTTTCAGAACACTTAAAAATAAGTGAGACTAATCCAATACAGACAACGTGGCCAAAAATACCATCAGAATTTTCACATCTCTCTACAGACCATATATAGTGCAGGCAGGAGAAGCGTTGCTGCTTTCAAGGATATCAGAACTCCCCTGAGAGGGAAAAGACAAATTTTTCTGTAAAGGCACATTTTAAAATGAGTACAGTGAGATGTAGATAACTCCTCCAAAGTAGATAAATAGTTTTAGAGTTTAGAGGTCCGTTCTCTTTGGATGCCTTTAGCTCAGTTTGACATAGGTGGGGAAAGGTTAGTGTGCTCTTACCAGTTCTTCGGGTTGACTGCTTGACGTCTGTTCCCTCCTGTTTCGTGTCCCGACCCAAACAAACAGGCAAGACATGTCAGATTGGTAAGAGACCTGCTTATGTTTCTGTATTTGCTGCAAGCTTTGAAATGCTGGAAATGTAAGTGTGTGAATATAAATTTATACACTTTATTTTGGTGGAACCAAATTCCCATTAAAATAGACAGGACACTATGAGAAGATACTGTTGTGGCTAAGCTTCTTATTAAAATGCCTTTCTGCACCTATGTTTCCTTTTTACCTTCAGGATGATGCCATTAAGAAGTGCAGACTCTTCAACAGCTTCTAGTAACTAGCAGAATGAATCTTAACTACATCATCACCTGTTTACTACGGTATAAGTATCCTCATAGTGATATGTAAATCAGCATGAAATTAGGGAAGAAAAATATGATGTTGCCCTTTTAGAGTATCTGGAAAACCTGCAGAAAAGTGTAAAAGGAGACACTGATTACTCTTGATGAAAGAGGAAACTTGTGAGATCTTAATGATAAACATGAGTTAATACAACTCTGAAGTGTGTGGAACTTGAGGCTACTAAAACTAGTGCAAGACTTGTAAAAATTCAGAATAGGTTCTTTTGAGTTCAGCATATCAAACTGACTTCTCATCATGCACTTTTCTATACACTGAGCTAGCTACTTACATAGTTAGGGCTCCTACCTACCACTTAACCAACTGTTAGTGCTAATTCTGGCATCTCCTGTAGGTGGGAGCCCAGGCAGTAGAAGAGGCTGTGTTGTTTTTCTGTTCTCTTCTAAAGTATGCTCTTAGCAAGCCAGTCTTTCAACAGACAGTTTAAAGCTGATGAGTCTCAGAAATGTACATATCACTGTTTATAGACCTTCAATGGATGCTAATTCATTGAGCAAGTGTGAAAGTGTAACTTTTCAGCTAAAAAGACTAGGTGTCATCTCATTCGTTTGGAATGTACAGTATGTGATTATATAACTTCCCAAGCTGGTGACATCACTGGTGACCAATCAAAAAAACTATACTTCTGACTATGATTTCTATTTGTAATATTCTAAATATCAAAGATGAGACTAAATATTTGGCTTAACATATTTTGGGTAGAATTATAAACAAAAACTGCTTTAATGTTTTTTGAATATGTCTGATTCTGGTGACTAAAAATGCTATAAAGTTTTGAAACTAAGTTCTGACTGCACTGGGCTTTCCGGAGGAAAAGGTAGGAAATTGGAAAAAAGGAAACTGTGTAATGAAGTAGCTATTCCCTAGGGTCTGAGTTCTTGAAAGCAGGGACATGTTTTAGCTCAGCTGATGTAATGGACACATATTCCTCAGGATGTGGCTAGTAATGAATGGATGTTTTTCATAAGTAGCTAGTGTTCTAAAATAGCATCAAGCTACAGCAAGTGATAAGAAAACAAATTATTCAGTTAAGTTAGACCTTCAGAAGGTTGGATTTTACTTTAGACTTTGGCTTCCCTGGAAATTCCTTATGTTTATCACTAGATTGAATGCTACTATCATTTAAACACTAGTTTTGCATTGTTCAGACCACAGTAATAGATTTAGAGTTCCTTACAAAGAAGGCATACAGAATCACTCAGATTTTATTTCCTCATTTTTGAATGTCTGTTGTAGTCCCAAAGACAAGAAACTAGCTAATGGATATTATCAGCTTTCAGTGGAAGTGTTGGAAGGGCAGCTAAATTCTGTGTTCCCACAAGTTTTTGTCTCTTAGCAGTGTTCTCAAAGTGTATACGTTACTGCAGTGTAAATCTTCAATTCCACAAAGCAGATGTTTGTAGGCAGGTTTGGTCATTGGGGCCCTGCTGGGGGTACCAAGGGCATAGTTATTGGTAGAATATGAAAGAGAGAGATGGGATGGCTGTATCCACACTACATACATTTTGTGCAAAGTCTGATGCTAACTGTTCCTCTTCAGGAAATAAGGAGCAAAGAGCTCATATTAGGAAATACAGTGACTTCCCTGGTCTTCCTATGAGTGCATCTGAGTGAAAAGATTTATCTCTTTCCAGTGTAATTTATCTCATTTTTTGATGTGAGATCTTTCTCCTGTCATTTATCTGTCCTAAGGGATAGATATGGCTAATCCATAGACAACAAACCATTTTGATGTGGCTTTATCCAAAACAATTTACATGCTTCAGGGTAGTCATGAAAGCTCCCTGATAATTCACCCTCCTGCAATTGTCTAGAGCATCCCCTGGCAAAGGCAGTTAACTCTCTTGTAAACTTGTTTTCAAATGCTGCACAGGAGAGAAGTGCCAGTTCTCTGTTTTTTGAAAATTGTCTTTCATCAGTATGGAACAACAGTAAGGCTGAGTTTTATTTGGAGCCTGGGAATACACATACACCCACCCAGTACTCCCTTGAAAGGTGTTAACTGTGGAGAATTAGAATAACTGCTCAGTTCAGAGTTGTTATCAGTAATTCTACTGTAGCTCCTAATTACAACTAACAGCTCTTATCGAGAGCTATGAAAGTTCACACAGTTACTCTTGTTGAACAGAGTTCACACTTACATTACTCTAGGAGCACAAATCCTGATCCCTTATGGGAATATCTAGATCTTGATATTTATTTTTATACTTTCATCAGATATGACAATCAGTGTAATTCTATGATTTCACCTATTTCTGCTACTAGCTCTGATTAATAAAGGTATATAAAATCTAAAGGCAAATATAAAAAATGAGAGAAGAATCCTGAAAATCATGACCTGTTCCAAGTATTTTTTTTCATGTGCTACCTTATACACATATAAATTTACCTGTTCACCAACATAGGTACATGGAAAATAAATGTCTGTGAAGCAGTAAAAGAGTTTACCACTTAAATTTACTGATGTGATCTCTGAATGCTCTATGGGGGTTTCTTGGAACTTTTTAAATGATAATTTTATTACTGTTCAGGAAATCAAATGACTAAAACCCAAGAAATTTAATGAAAAATTTAAGAAAGAAAAAGAAACCAAAACAAATAAAGTCCAAGCCAAGCTTGGCTGATTATTTACCAAGGTGTACCCTTTAAGTATTTCGCAGCTTGAAATTTTTGTTTTATAGGAAAACTTAGTTAAACTAAGGACCTGATAACAATGCACAGCTTTGGAATCTTTTTTTTTTTTTTAATTTCCCCCTCAATTCTCTGCCTAAATTCTAAATCTGAAAGAAGGAAATCTTCAGCTTTATAGAGTGAACCTCCACCTCCCTCAGGCTCTTGGAAATTGCTTTTCTCATAGTGAAATAAAAGTCACCATACTATAACTTTGAATATTCTCTATTCTGTGAATCATGCTTTTCAGATCCTTTTAGTAACAAAGAATTCTTTTTCTTTCAATAAAAATAATTGGTTCCGCCTACATTTTCTTTGGGGACTCCATGATTACTGTCAGAACAGAAACTTCAAATGTATCTCAAGGTATACTTCAAATTCTTGTATTAATAATAAGCTGTAGGTAAGGTTCCAGTACAGAAACACTGGAAACAGTTGGCTGTGAAAGGTGTTTTTCATTGCAATCTCCAAAACTGTATTGAATGGATGAAACTGAAATTATTTTGTTTTGGTGTGTTGTAAAACTGACTCACTGCCACTTCTTTTCTTGATACTACAGGTCTTAAAAGGAATTGTCTAACAAGAAAGTGTGTAAACTGACAACTGAGATTTGTCCTTATTCAAATCCCATGACTCATTCCATAGGCAATAAAATATTCATTGTTCTTGAATCCGATTTTCTAATATATTTGCATCCTTCATCATGTGATGCCTCTCTCCTTCCGCGCTATGGAATGCTGACACAAGGTGCACAAAAGAAATGTTTTTGTTTTCTGTGTATGGATAAAAGACTTGTACAGGCTAGAGGTGGACAGAGAGCATGCTCTGTCTTTTTCTTCTGTATCCTTGAATTTAGAGCCAGAACCCAGTACTGTGAGGATTTGCACAGTAGAATTGGAATTAGGATTGCACCTTACAGTCAACTGAGCAAATGCAAGTTGGTTATGTGCTCCTAACTGGGGAATGGAATTCTGTTTCGTTTTGGACTGGTACACTAGAAATACCAGTTCTGTCTCCTCACACATTTTCAAAACTCTGGGCTCTTGTTTCACTTAGAAGTTTGAACATTTCCTCAGTTTTGACCTTGGCCAATGAAAAAAAAAAACCAGTTGGTATTTGTAAACGTAATAGTGTATTCAGAGTTTCACTGTTTAAAATATATGCCACTAGAGAAAGAGAAAGTGACAAGTCATTAAGTTTTCTGGTAACTCATTAAAAAGAGAGAACTTATTTGGAATTCCTTTTCACACCAAAATGCAGTAAGATTTCTCCTGTGTGTTCCTGACTATTTGCTTTAGTCAAGTTGAATATGAAGTCAAGTTTATTGACTGTTTATATACTGATTTCAAGCAGGAAGTTAAAATTCAAAAAGCTGCCACTGGAAGCAGTGATGGTTTAGAGGAAAGCAACTGGGCCAATCGATTAAGGCCTTGACCAGGACTAAAGACAGTGACAGTGAAAATCAGGTATCTCACCATGTGGACTGATGGAGGAACCTGAGGTTGGCACTGGTGTGATGTCAGATCATAGGATATGTCTGGGAAGCTGGAGAGGAAAATGCTGGAAAAAGCAGGAAGGTGAAATTTCTTGATGTTGCAGCCATTGGCTCCTTAGATGATTCAGGGCAAGTTGCTTGTCTATGCTTGATTACGTACCTATTTTTTTTTTTGTCTTTGAAGAGCTTCCTCATTATTCTAACATTGTTTAGATTTTCTTCAGCTTCAGGCATTTTGAAGTCATTGAAAATCTTTAACTCTAGAGAAGTTAAGATGTTTTAATATTAGCTAGCTAAACCCAAAAAAAGTTTGAATGAATGTTAAAATTGAGTTTGAGACACTGGATAGCTATAAGTATGTTGTAGACACATACATTTTTGCATCTATTGAAACCTTTATTTTGGTAAATTTTAGTTTGGTAAATTGCGTATTACTAGGATTAGCCTGACTGGTGAATTGCATGGCTTTAGAGTTCCAGAAAAGCTATAGAAACCTTGCACCCTCATCCTGATCGTCGTCTCTCAATTCTAAGTCAGGTTTTTCTGTTAATCTTTGGCACTGAGACATCTTGCTATCCCTAAATAAAAGATTAGCTATTCAGAAAGGATACTAGGATTTTCATATTTCCTGTCTGGTTTTGTCACCCTTTGAACAACGTAATAACATTCTTCTTGTTCAGATACATTCAGTATAAACCAGATGAAAACATGACATTTGAAATGAGTTATGGGTAAATTTATAGGCCTGTCAAAAACAGTGGTGTCATGCTGGGCCACTGCCCTGTAGTCAGTCAG